CAGAGACAGAGTGGGAAGCAGAACAGGTGGATTGACTAAAACACACTGCTAAAGGGAGCAGCAGGAGAGACAGGAGAGGTCTGCTTCACCATGTGGTCAGCGCCCTGGCTGGGGATCGAACTTGTGCTGCAGTGGCTGTGTCTAGCTTCATAGTGCTGAGACTTAACACCTTGAGCCACCAGGGAGGACCCTAATTTTTTTTTTTTAACAAGGAGGTATTCATGTATTCATCCTATAATTAAAAATAATTTAACTTAAAGACATTAAGGGCCATGCACATTCATGGATTGAAAGATGTAATCAGTATTTAAATGTAAGAACACTGAGAGCCATATTAGGTTCATGGAGTGAAAAATACAATTTTTAAAGAGTCAGTATTCATTGGGGTTCCCTGATGGTGCAGGGAAGTCTCAGAACTATCAAGTTATCACCAATCACTATGGCCTGAGTTCAATTCCCAGCCAGGGAGCTGACCCACATGGTGCAGCAGACCTCTCCTGACCCACCCACTGCTCCTCTCAGCTGTGTATTCCAGTATATCTGCCTGTTCTGCTCCCCATTCTATCTCTGGTGAATCTTCTTACCACCCCTACACAACTGGCCTGTACCCCAGCTCTGTAGGCATAAATAAATCAATCTCAAAAAAACCCTATCTAATCAGGGGGATGCAGATGGGAAGCCAGATAAAGCCACAGAGGAAGAGGGGGAGGCTAAGTCAGGGTTTGCTGAACTGTTGCCTGAAGCTGTGTGGGCTTTGCACATGGCCTGGGGTGGGGACTCCTGGCCCGGTCAGGTTCCCAAGGTGCCAGAAGCTGAGCTTTACACCCGGCATCCAGCTGGGCCCCGGGCTGACTGGGGATGCGGCCTGGCCTGGCTCCCAGCCACTGCCTCCAACCTGCCCCACGGTGGGCAGCTGGCTTCCTGGGGAGGACTTCCGAGACAGCAGGGGCTCAGTGGTCACCACTTGTCACCTGCCATGGCCTAGTCTTCTGGCTGGATGCCCTCTAACTGGTGCCAGTGCCGGTCCATCTCTTTAGCACCTGCCCTAGTCGAGTTCCAGTCTTGGCTTCTCTAGATTTGCCCATCTGGTGCCCCGAGACAGCACTGCTCCTGGGAGCCAGCCCAGACACTGCACACACACAGGGATCAGAAGCCCAGTGAGCTCAGACAGGCCCCCTCACCTTGCTGAGCTCCAGACTCCTCGCTTGGGATGAGCTGGGATGCCAGGCTGTTGGTGTGGGTACCACAGCAGGCATGGGCCCTGCCCAGAACAGGTATGAGATGAGAAAGTCCTCATAGCCCCCCTCTTCCTTCTTACTGCTTCACCCTGAGCACCCTTGCCCCACCCCTACCCTCTGCTGTGCTGTACATCTTTGATGGACAACATTCCCATGACTGACAGGAGTTTGGGAGGCCCAGCGGACTGTCAAGAGGGAGCATGTGATATCTTACAAAAGGAAATGTGTCTTCTTTTCTTCCCAGCCTACTTCCATCTCTTACTGTGTCTGCTCTGGACAACTGCAGCAGAACCAAGTGGGCTTCTTTGTTCCTAGGGTTAGGTCCCAGGGACATATATGTTCAAGAAAGCATGGTCAGGGGTGCTTGCTGCAGCCAGGTGTGTGCCCTTGCGCTAGGGGTATACCCGGTCTCCAGACTACAGGCAGTACTGCAGAGAATGACCTAGATTTAATTATTCGGACATAGAGAGATGTCCACACTATGTTGTTAAATAAAAAAAATGAATCGGGCCCTCCCTGGTGGGGCAGCACTGCAAGCTGGC